GGCGGCCGCCGGGCGGCTTTAACTGCAGCCGTTAACGAGCAGTTGAGAGGGCCGCGGCGCGCTTCCCGTGAAAGCGTTATTATTTATTCATTGCGTACATAGAAACTGCGGCATAAGTAGATCAAGCGATTTATTTAGGGATGACTGACAGCTTAAACTAGACTGCGGGGCTTCACGGTGCCGAGGTGATGCTGCCTTTGCTAATCCGTGCCTGCAGAAAAAGACATTTTTAATGTTTCAAGAAGGCTCTAGATAAACCAGTGTCAAAAGACGCTGTTTTCATTAGCAGTAACAATTCTGAAAGAATGTTGCACTTGCTCAGAAACACCAGTTTTCCTGAGATTCAGAACAGCAAGTTCCATTCTGGATCATTTATTTTGTCATTGGAATAATGTGAGCTATTGCACATCTATTGTAAATTTGAAAACATCTACTTAAGAGATTTGAACGTTTCTGCAAGTGCTTCATGTTCCTCACGTTCACCGTGTAATGCATATTCCATTGGGGAAAGCACTATCTTTCATTAAGTGTATGTATTTCTAATGCAATTGAGCTAAGGAAGCAGGTGGCCTAGCAGCAGTGCAGCGAAAAAGAAATGAGTATTATAAAAAATGCAAAAGCTTGAGAAATGCTGGCACTTTAGCCATGCTGATTGCATATAATTTCCACTGGAGAGCAGTAGAGGCTTGCACAGTATTTTTTTCTCATTTAGCCTGATGCTAAGACATTAACCATGCTTTAGATGCAAATGATGCTTTGTTTTTACATACAAGGCTAGCAGATCCACACAGGAACAACAAAGGAAAAGAGTTTAGTCCAATATATTTAGTCAAATATATTAGTTACACTTGAGTTTTGTTTAGCCACCATCCTCCTAAGCTCCATTTTATATAAAGAGGCCAAGATATAGGCCACTGAAGTACAAAAATTATTTATAAACGTGGCAAAGGGAGAGAAAAACTGCTTGTCACTACATACAACCCCCCAGAATATATCTTTTAAGCTAAAACCTGTTTTATTGTATGATACGTACTTTCTTTCTCACATGTCCCTAAGTGAAATTTTCAGTTAAATTAACGGAAATCATCCCTATAAAATATAGTAGGTTCATCCTTCTCTTTAGTGGTTGTCTTTAGTGGAGAGAGCTCTCTGTATTTGCCTGCTGTCTGCTGTGCTTTGCAGTTGTTGCAGGATGCAGCAGTGTTGAAGGAAGCTCTCCTGGTATTTCTCCCTCCACTTGTGTTCCAGGTCAGCACTTGCCTCAGTCATTTGCAGGTGACACCAAGAGCCTTTAGGGAGGAGTCCCTGCCTTGTGTTTTTCTAGTGAACCTGAATAAATCGTGTAGGAAGACAAGCCGAACAGTCAAAGTGGTGAGGTGTCTCTGTTCTGATCTCAGGACAAAGTTGGTAGGCTGTACCTAGCTGCAGTGGACTTTTAACCCAAGCTTCGCCACGTTTATCATGAGTAATCCTTACTGCATAATGTGATAGGAGCTCCAAACAACTTCAGAAGAGAATGAAGATTTAAAAATATCCATCACCTTGAGTTGCAGCAAAGATTCTTTCCCCTACATAAAGTTTTATAGATGTTGCCATCCTACTGGGCAAATTGCACAAATATATTAGCTCAAAAGTCATATTTTCTGACAGACATCAAAAATGGGTCAAGGTGTCTGGTGACAGTCTTTCAGAGAGGGGGTCTCTGAGGATATTCTATTTTTATCCCATTTCTATTAGCAAAATTGATAGATGTGGTTTTCTTTCACACAGCTGGAGCTAGACCATCATTAAATTGCAAGCTGCTACCACTACAACTGCAGTCAGACTGACGAGGATGACAGCTACTTGTGCACATGTTTTTAAGTCACCTGCAGGATTTCTAATCTAGAAAAATATTTTTAAAATACAAACATTAGAAAAATTACCTAATAAATTAGTTTTCTGGATAATATGGAAAGTTTTACTCCCCATCCCTAGAAATAACAGCTTATATTTGAAAGTAATCTGATTTGAAATAAAACAAGGAAAGAAATTAGGTCTTGAAGCAGTCTGGGACGAGAGGAGCTCAACTGGGACTTCACTCAGAAGAAATTTTGTAAAGCTTAACAGTACTTTATTTCTTCAAGTGCAACAGAAATCAAACCAAAACCAAACGAAGGACGGTGACTAAAACAATCAAATGATTATTTACAAAGATGACCTTCATTTAATGAGGTTAAAAGGCTTGGCAAAGATCACGTGGCAAACTTAGGGTGAAGCTGCAAATAGTGCGAGCCCACCGTATGGCAAGGGCTAAGCTTTAATCGTTAAATGGCATAGTTTTAGCAAGACTATAAATAGATGCCCTGTTGCTGCTCTTAACTCTACATTTTTTTTTTTGGTAAGCATCCTGTTTCTGGAGTTCTTCTATTTTTAAGAACCATTTGGCCTGAGTAAGGATTACAGGACTAGGCTTTGTATTAAAACTCTGAAATAGCTTAAATAAGAAGGTATTGAAATAGCAGAATATTGCAGACAATATCAGGAAAATACTCAGAATTCTAAATCCAAAACAACTTTTTGGGGGACCTACCAGAATATATGTATATTATGGTGCTGGAGTTCTTCTATTTTTAAGAACCATTTGGCCTGAGTAAGGATTACAGGACTAGGCTTTGTATTAAAACTCTGAAATAGCTTAAATAAGAAGGTATTGAAATAGCAGAATATTGCAGACAATATCAGGAAAATACTCAGAATTCTAAATCCAAAACAACTTTTTGGGGGACCTACCAGAATATATGTATATTATGGTGGTCATGTTGTATATTATATATATAACTGATGCTTATGTCAACATATAGATCTCTGTAAAAGATACTATTTTCTGGGTATCATGATATGATAATGTCCTGGATTTTCCTAGCTTTCCAGGATTATAGCAGATTGTAGTGGAGAAATCCCAAATAAGAACATGGATCTTAAAATTCAGAAAAAAATCCACTAATAATGGACTTATGGACATTTTCAGACAGGGAGTGAAATGCTTTAGAGGAATTTCCCTGAAATTCCTGTTTTTGATAATGCAGAGAGCAGAAATTCAGTGGACGATGGGACAAAACAACAAAACTATTTTTGAACTTGAAACTTATGAAAGCAGATGAAACATTTTAGGACACCAAGTACGGCGAAAGGGCAGAGGGAAGGGAAAAAAATAAATAAAAAGTAAAAAAAGGTCCGGCGGGGCCACCGAAGAGGAGTAAGAAAGAAAGGAGACCTCCAATCCCCTTAGCGGATTAGTGGGCCGGGGCGCGCGGCTCGCGGGAAGGTAACGGTGCGGGGGACGGCGGGGAGGCTGCGGCGGGGCCGG